ATATTTCCATTTTCTGTTGACTTAAAAAAAAAACAGAGGTTTGTACCTATGTTGTTTATTTATTATTTCTTGCCTATATCTTGTAATATGAGAATCTACTTTGGCAGTAACAATACACAATGTACTAACCATTGTTACTCTCCTAAAATCTTGTTTTGAGATTTTGTACCATTGTTTTTTTTTCTTTAAAATAAAAATAACTGATGTAAAAATAAAAATAAATAAATAAATAAATGCAAAATAAAAGATCCATAATGGGAAACAAGGAAGTAAGTCTTTTCCAAAAAGGAAGGGACCAAGTGATGAAGGGAGTGGGGTGGTAAAGAGGAATGGGAGCTAAAAAGAATAAAGAGGTATGAGGGACACATACCGACTCTCCACAAAGAATGTAGACAATATGCACTGCAAACATGAGTGATCAAAATTAATTTTTTTTAAATGGAAATTAGAAGGGGGTGTGACATCATCTCAGGGCCTTGTAAGTGGGAGGGGAAGAAAGAGGAGAATGAGGAAGACAAGGGAGAAGGAGGAAAAGGGAGAAACGGTGGCGATCTCCCAGACACTTCTGAGAACTAATGACCAAAATGAGGGTGTTCATCACATGCCACAATGGACTGCAGCTGCCAGCGATGAGGGGCTTGGCTTGAGAAAGGCCCTGGCTTACTTGGGGGTGTGACGACATCTCAGAGGCCTTATGAGTGGGAGGGGAAGGCAGAGGCAGCAGGATCTGAAGCTGTGTGGCTCCTTCCGTATGGAGGAAAGGGCCCCAGCCAAGGAACCTGGGAGCCTCTGGAGCTTGAAAAGGGCAGGAAGGGAGCCTCCCCCTCCGCCAGCTCCCTAGAAAAAACCCAAGCTGCAATCACCTTGTTACATTACAGTGAGACCATTCAGACCACCCCCTGCACCGCTACAGTACAGGGGATGGAGCCCAGGGCCTTCGCTCTAAGTTACATCCCCCATCTTTCTTGTTTTTAACTTCAATACAAGGTTTCACTAAGTTACTCAGGCTGGGATCTGCCTTGCCACCATCATGACTCAACCTTCCAGAGTTCTGGGGTTACAGAAGCCTCCAGCACACCAAGATCCTGCGCTCAGGAATTTTACTGCTGTTGCTCCAGCCAGTGAACATGGTTATTTGTATAGCCGCAGAAGGAACCATACACCCCCGCCAGTCAAGGGAGCAGGGTACCTACCCCTTGCCCTCCCCACCCCCCTTATCAGTCACACCTCTCACCTGTGACTGAGAGCTCCAGAGGGTTGCTGGGGGCTGACCACAGGTAGGGGGATGCACTGGAGAAGCTGTAGCAGCGGTAGGTTCCACTGTGGGCAGCAGTCACCGTGATGATGGGGAAGTCAGCCCGGTACCACTGTTCTGGTTGTTTTCGGGGTCCAGTGTCCCCCTCCTTATACAGAGCAAATCGGTTGAAGCCATACTGGGTCTGACACTGCAGGGTGACATCGCCCCCAGGGGCCACCGCAGAGCTGGGGTACGCTGAGAGTGAGGGTTTCCTGTAGACCCCTGGGAGGAGAGGACTCTGCCTTAGCATCAGTGGGGCCCATGTTCAGGCCCTGGGGCTGGAGTGGCCCACACTCCAAGAGCTTCAGACTTTTTGCCATCCCCTTCCCAACCTCAAAGAGAATCCAGGTCACAGCTGGGGACCTGGTGAGGTCCTGGCTTCTACATTCAAATCCCAACACCTCCATTTAGGGCACCTGTATTCCTAGAGAGCTGTCTTTCACATCTGTGCAGACCCTGTTCTCCGCTAGGAGGTAGGGGTGGTGGGGGAGGCAGATGCCTGAAGCTGCGCCAGTGTGTGGCGGAAGGTGGCTCTGGCTCAGCCTGTACTGGCAGTCTGTGTGACGTGTCCAGCAGCTGCCTGTGAGCCTCTGCAATGGTCCTGCCACCAGAGCCATCAGAGTTCAAGTCACATCAGCTCCCTGAGTCCTTGCAAAGAGCCAGGAACTCAGTGCCACTAATATTCATGACCTATGAATGAAACTAGCCCAAGGATTCAGTAACTTGTCCAGCTCTAGGTAAAGCAATATGGGCCACTTGAAATTTATTGAGTGTGAATGCTAACTGTTGACCCCGTAAAAGTCCCTCTACTAAGGATTAGGCATAGGCTCTTTGCATTGAGCCACATCTCACACACACACACACACACACACACACACACACACACACACACATATGATTTTTGAGACAGGGTCTCACTGTGCAGTCTAGGCTGGGGCCTAGAACTCACTATGTAATCCATGCTGGCTTCGAACTTGCAGCAATCCCCCTGCCTTATCCTCCCAAGTGCTGGGACTACAAGTGTGTGCTACCCCATACAGTGCAATGTTTTATTTAATTTCTTAAGGAACTATTATGTGTCTGCTTCTGCTCTAACAAATAAAAATCGTGTCACATAAAAATAAAAATAAAGCATGACTCAGGTGCATAGGTGAAGATGTGGCACCTGAGATTGACATGAGTGACATTGAAAATCAGCACCCAACTTTCAATAGGGTGTGAGAGACACATTGAGGAGACACATTTGAGTCAGACCCCAAAGGTGACTGGAGGACGCCAGGGCAGCAGAGCACAAGGCCCAAAGGAGGCGGTGGGTACAGGGCCAGTGGGTCGGCACCCCTGTCAGGGTGACAGCTGGGCAGGGAGAGCGAGACACTCTCCTAAGGTGTCGAGCTGGGTTTCTTCAGGTGATAAACAAATTTGAAAAATTACTAAAAACGTATAAAAATAGATCTTTAAAATTCACATTGCTCCATGTTCAAATATTTTATGTATACCTCCTCCCTTCTCAAAAAATATTCGCTATCATTTTAATTGCAGGCTTTCTGGAAGCAAACCTAACGGCAACATTTTCAAAATCCACAGCTGGAAAATAGCCATTTTAAAATGCGTGGAACCCAAGCAAGGTGTCATTCCTGCACTCTAGGAGGCTGAGGCAGGAGAATGGCAGATCTGAGCCCAGACTAGACAACTTGGTACTTAGCAAGATGGATTTCAAAATTAAAAGAAGAAAAAAATCAAAGGACTTGGAATATAGGTCGATGTGAAGGCATTGGGTTCAATCCTCAGGATAATAATGAGAATAAAATAAAAATAAAATGCAGGAAGGGGCTCTGGCGAGCTCGGTTGGCACCGCTGGCTCTTGTCTTTCCTTCATTTTGGGATATTTTGTTCATTGCGGACATGTTTGCACCAGTCTTGATGTCTGAACAAGGTGTATTCATGTTGATAAATGAGTGTCTCCATGTGCCACTCCCCAATCCCAGCCCTGGAAGATTTTGGGTCTCTTCTGGACCGCGACTCCTGGAACTTGGGCCCTTCAGTCCCCCACATCCCGCAGCTGCATCCTCCCCAGACGCGGCAACGAGGCCCATGCCCCCTGATCCAGCTGCCGCACCCCATCCCCACGCCGCCGTTACCAGTGGCAACCAGCTCCAGATTCTCGCTGGGCGGGGACCAGCGGGAGCCGTTCTGGTAGGAGCAACGGTAGAGGCCAGCGTGGCTGATCTCCATGGCCGGGATGGCGAGGACAGCCTGGTCCTCGTACTTCCGCGACTGCAGCTTCTCCAGCCGGTACAGGTCTGCGCCCGGGGGCCCCTGGCAGCGGATGGTCACCGGCTTCTTCAGGGGCACCAGGGCGCTGGGCAGCGCCTGCAGGGAGGGCTTGGGGAGGTGGCCTGCAAGGAAGCAGAGCAGCGTCACGGCAGGGCCGAGGGCCTGCAGCGGCCCGGGGCTGACCCAGTGGAGGGTCGGCGCCGAAGGACTCACCGTCGAGCGTGCATGCTGCCTGCCCCAGACACAGGCCTGCGGAGAGAAAGCGAGAGCCACGCTAGAACCTCGACGAATGGACAGACGAATGCTACCAAGGCGTCGCGAAGACTGCGCGCAGGTGGAAGAAGCCAGGTCACAAAAGGCCAGCTCTGTGTGGTCCATCCATAGGAAATGTGCAGAGTGGGCGCAGGGGTGGAACGGGCTGGGCAGCTCAGAAGGGCTGGGGTTTCCCCCTCCTGCGTGGGGGACTGCAGACGAGGCCCCAGAGAGCCACGGAGTGCCACAAGTTGAAAAAACACGTGTCCTTCAACCCAAGGATTGCTGTCTGTCTCTGTAACAGCAAGGATGGAACCCGGGGCCCATGCGCGGCAGGGGTGCTGTACCACTGAGCCACTCTTCCGGTCTAAAAATATGCTTCAAGCCCCGTATCTCCCTCCTCGGCTGCTTCCTTACTCTTCCCACCACACTCTTTGGACTAGATTATTCCTCCCCGGGTCATCTGCATATCCTTAGGGTTTATTTTTAAAATCTGAGTATGCTGTCATTTGTGTTTTGTTTCGTTTCGTTTTTTGTCTTCTGCTTCATAAGACAGAGTCTGGCTATGTAGTTGAGGCTGGCCTCAAATTCACAGCTATCCTCCTGCCTCAGCCTTCCAAGTGCTGCAATTACAGGCATGCCTGGCCCAACCAGGTATTGTGTTGTTGAAAATGACTGAATAGATTTTAAGTGTTCACACTATAAAAAATTAACATTAGACACCCTGGATAGGTTAACTAGCTTGCTCTAATATACACGCGTCAAAACACCTGCTCTACACCATAAATCATACCATGTGTATCCATCCACTCCAAAAAGAGATAATCAGCCCTCTCCTCTTAAAAGTGACAGAAAGAAGATAAAAATTTATTTTCAAGTGTAGAGTTGCTGAACAAATTCCGGTCTGTGTTTGAGTCCTTGATGTGGTCCATGCTGCTTAGACTTGCCAAGCCTGTTTGCCATTCTGTCAGATGAGGATAGTTACACATACCATCTCATCGGGCAGTTGGGGATTGAGTCGGGAGACCTTCCTTGGTATTGGAGGTCAAACCCAGTGCCAAGCAGGGTTGGTCCAATCCAGGGGTGCTCTGCCAGTGAGCTATAGGCCCTGCCCTTTCTGTTTTTTGAGACATGGTCTTGCTAAGTTGTCCAAGGGGAAGCTGGACTCACCATCCTCCTGCCTCAGCCTGCCTCAGTGCTGGGATCACAGGCAGGGGCCACTGCTCCTAGCTCGTGGGGGACCCTTATTTGCTTCATGAGTACAGTGGATTCTGACAGACTTGTGAGCCAGTCCTGAAATCATCAAGCCCACATTAAAACAAAAGCAAAGGAGACAGCAACCATGGCATAGTAGAAAGACATCGAACTGGCACCAGGACAGGAAGGACTGCGCCTGTCCTGACACGGCTTGGAGAAGCTGGGGTAACTCAGACTGGCTGCCCCACCTCCTCAGGCTACCTTTCCCTAGATCCCTTCTTGTTCTGAAATTTATCAAGGCAATTTTTTAAAACTCTTGCCTGGTCTGTGTTTCCCGTGGACCTCAGGACTCACCAAGGCAGAGGAGGGCAGTCAGGAGTAGGGACATGTTCCTCAGTCCCAAGCTCTGCTCCAGGGCTGCAGAGGGGGGCTGCAGCCAGGGTGCAGAATGCCAGGAGGTGTGGCTGGCTCCTTCCCTCCTCCCGCCCACCTTCTGCTCTTGCCAGGCTTTCCCAGCTGACACTGGTTGGTCGGGTGACCGCCCCCAAGGCTGCATGCTGGCTCAGTGGCTGTGGAGGTCTCTTATCTGCTCCCCCAGCCTGGCAGCCTCCGTCCATCTGCACCCCAGGGCAGGGCCTGTGCCTCTTGCTCCCATCAACATGGGGGTAACATGGAAACCCAGGCCCCCATGAGTGCTCATTTCACACTTACTAGGATGGCTGCAAATTTTGTACAATGGAAATTGCCATCAGTGAGGATGCAGAGAAATGGGGCCCGTGTGCATAGGACATTGATGGGGCAGTGGCTCAGGCAGCTATGGTGGAAACAGCCCAATGCATGAGCGTGAGAGGTCACAGAAGAAGCCAGGAATAAATCACAAAGTTCCCGAGTCCAGTGGTAATGGAAATGCAGTGCATCCAAACCCAGGGAACTTGAGGAAAACAGCTAGGCAGGGAGGGGCGCTCCAGCTAGGAGCATGCACACGAAGAGTAGAGCTGTCCCAAAGAAGTACCTAGTAATACATGTCCTAGAGAGAGAAACAGCCCAAATCGGAAACTGACAGAGGAAATTAGGAAGGTCATAGCAGGCATTAATGGAATTGAGACCAAAAAATGCAGAGAATCAGTGAATCACCTTTGGCTCTTTGAAAGGATGTGGGAGACAGGAGGGAAGGAGAGGGAAGGAGAAAGGATCAAGAACTGTGTGCATAGCCTGGATTTCCCCACAGTGACTGACTGCACTGACTAGTTGTGAAAACATGCACTAACATAAAATTCATGAAAATGTCAAGCATGGGATCAGCCACTGTCTGATCTAGAAAGTAGTTCTGGGTTTAGGTCTAAGGAATGGAAAGCAGCATCAGTAGGTATTCACAGTGTTGTTCTCAAGAGCTAAAAGTGTAGACAGCCCAGAGGCCCGTCAGCAGGGGTGTCCATGGTGCACGATGGAGGTACCGGGCCTGCAAGAAAAGCATATACGTGACACATGCAACAGCTTCTTCCTCCTATCTAACTCAAACACCACGCCCAGCAGGCAGTCCTGCTTTTGTCTTTGAGAGTCTCCCTCCATCTTCCATGACTGCTGGGCTGCTGTGTCGTTCTACCTTCTCACCCGCAGAGAAACATGGAGAGAAGCCACCACCTTCGCCCCACCTTTGCCTTAGCCGAGGCCCAGGTGGGAGTCACAGCAGGGAGAGTGGCTGGTGGTGGGATCCCAGGGCCATGCGAGGTTCGGGTGGGGGCTGTAAACTACAGAGCCGGAATAGCTGAGGCACGCTGTGGGGCAGACGCCTGCTGCCTGCAGCAGAGAGAATGAGACGCAGCTCAGTGGCATTCCTTGGATCCCAGAAACCGAGGACCCGGCTGGAGCTTGAGTCACACCCCTATACCGCTGCACATCCTCTGCTGGTGACGCTGCCATCTAGGGAACAAAGAAGTGCTTTTTTAATTATTTATGTTAATAGTCATTGTAATTATACAAATGTACAAGGTACCATGTGGTAATTTTACACATGTGTACCATGTATAATGTTCAATCAGGATAGCTTTTTTTTCTTTTTTTTCTTTAGGAGATAAAATTGTTTTTATTATAACTCAACAGCCCAGATCATTATTCAGGGAAGTTAGCATTTCCCCCTCCTTAATTTTTTTTTCTTCTCTCATGTACTTTACTATGGTATGAATAAAGGTTTTCCCACATTGCTTGCATACATATGGAGTCCTCACACTGTGATTTCTTTCACGGATGTGAACCACACTGTGTGTACTGGAGCCTTTCACATTTCTCTTACCTACTAAAGTTTTCTTCCCGGGTGAGTTTGTACTCCCAGATCAGAGATGGCCTCCACACATTGTCCATATTGACAGGGTTTCTCACCAGTTTTTCTTATTTCATTCTCTTAAACGGACTGGAAATCACTGCAGGTTTTCCCATATTCATTCCATTGATATAGCTTCTCTCCGACTCTCACATACTTACCTGCATCATTTCTCAGATTTCTCAAGTCACTTTTCTATTCTTCTTTAATATGCTGGTTATCCCCGGTTCTTCCTACAGCAGTCACATTTGTGGTTCCCACCTCACATCTCTGTAGAGCTTCTTTTGGGATGGATTCAGCAAAGCCCACTCTGCCGAGGTGAAGTTCACAGCTACATCCTCAAAGGTCGTTGCCTCCATTGCACGGCTTGATGCTCTCCCAGGATCCTTTTAACACAGCTCACAGCAAGTGGAAATTATAGCAAAAGGCAATCTCGTCAGCTGGGGGCTATCGTCAATGCAATCACAGCAAGCACTCAGACACCACCTCACGGCAAGAGCCCTCCTCTCTTAATCTTTTTTAATTTGACTAACATGTAACAATTTTACAGCTTTAAGGGGAAGAGTGTGGTATTTCAGTGCACGCTTAACTATTCATCTGGCCAAGAATTAACACCCAGACATTTTTTATGACTTGTTCTTTTTAGTTTTTTTTTAAGGAGAATAAAAAAATCACATAAGAAATAATACAGAATTTCACTAAATAAACCAATAGGAATTCAACAATGGTAGTTATGTTGCATGATGTTGTATTCAAATTAGTTGTTTAGATTACCAGATATAAGCATGCAAAAAATGCAAGACCAAAAACAAATATTTCAATGAATAAATGGATCAAAGAGGATCTCTGTGAGTTCAAGGCCAGCATGGATTACACAGAGAGACCTTGACTCAAATAAGTAAATAATAAAAATTAATAAATATTTAAAAATAAATTTTAAGTAGGCAAAAGATACAAACCTCTCAGAAGGAGAAATTCAAATGACCATCAAATAGATGACAAAATCCTCAGCTCCAGTAGCTGTCAAAGCTACCATGAAATTCATCTCCCCCAGTGAGAACAACCAACTCAGAAAGGAAAGCAGTGTGCAGGGCAGGGGAGGATGTGGAGAACTGACCGGACACGGACTACAGCCTCAGAGAGACCAGAGGAACTAAGCTGAGGTGTCTGTGGAGACCAAGAATAGACCAACCACAAACCGCAGGCAACATCTATTCAGCCCCATGGAAGGTTTTCCATTTAAAATTATTTATTCCAGAAGCATTTTGTGAAGAGGAAGAAGAAGAAAGAGAAGAAGAAGAAGAAGAAGAAGAAGAAGAAGAAGAAGAAGAAGAAGAAGAAGAGGAAGAGGAAGAGGAAGAGGAAGAGGAAGAGGAAGAGGAAGAGGAAGAGGAAGAGGAAGAGGA